ATTAATACCGACATTTTATTTCAGTGTATTTCAACACAAATACTAAAAATGTTAACTCTTTGCAGTTTAGAAGTGAATTTCCTGTCATAATTAAGTTATAGGTCAAGTGTAGATTGACCTATCTACACTTCTATCTGGGATATAAGGATTGATATTTTCTCTTACGCTCCCTAATTTACTGTCTGATGCTATTAATGATAATTTATTTTTACATCACTGAAAGTAAATTTAGATGCTGGTAATTCATTTAGTGGCTGTGAAAACATCATTAATGAAGCAATGGATGAAATACAGCTCTGGTCTTATTTTATCTTAACTTGTATGACTTTAGGAGTGTTGAAGGTGACTTTAGGAGTGTTGAAGATGACTCCAGAAATAGCATCTTCTGCAATATAGGTATTGCTGTTTTGACATTCACCTAGAAGTCTTTGTAGTATTTATTCAGAAATGACTATGTTGATTGATTGATTGGGTCATTCAACTGTAATTTAAGTATAGGGCCACAATATTCAACAGGAATAGAACTAGGTAAAAATAAACAAAACTCTCCCTTGAGGTCGGAGCTAGTTCTGTCATGCAGTAGAAGAAAAGTACTGATAGCAGAATGTGCAGTGTGCTCTGACTTTCAAAGGAGAACTGCCTGGGGAAAGAGAGCTAAAAAGCATAATATCCCTAAAAGGGGCTGAATCTTGAGGTCACATTATACCATGTAAAACAAAACAGATACAAGTCATATGATTTCACTTACAAGAAGTGCCTGAATAATTATATTCATAGATACAAAGTGTAGCTGTGATTATCAGGGGCTGGGAGGGCAGATTACTGTATAATGGGTACAGAGTTTCATTTTGGGATGAAGAAAAAATTTCTGGATGTAGATTATGGTGATGGTTGCACAAAATTATGAATATACTTAATATTGCAAATTTTTCAAAAAATAAAACAAATGGTAGATGAACCAAATACGGTATCATTATTTATACACCTTCTTCCCCTCCCCCAATATGTTCCCTTTTTTGTTGGCAGTTTGTCTTTTTGGATTGTATTTTTTTTTATTGAGGTAACAGTTTACAACACTGTATGATTTAGGGGTATATGTTTGCACCCCCAAATGTTTGCTACTGTACCCACTACCAAAGCACCTGTGATCATCCAACACAGTCCCTTTGCTCCCCACCTTCTTTCTCCCTCTCTGGTAGCCTCAATTCTGCAGTCAGTTTTCCAGAGTTGTTTCATTTGGTTTTGTCTGTTCCTTGAAATCATCCCCTATTTGTCTTTCTCCTTCAAAATTAGCTTGCTTAATATAGTACCCTCTAGCCCATCCATGTTATTGAAGATGAAAAAAATTAATCTTTTTTATAGGTTAAGCACTGATGTAGTTAATTATGACTATTATATATTATATATTGTTATATTGTATATAATATATATATACATATATATATAAAATACAATATATATATTACATCTTCTAATGTGATTAGGCACATAGGAGCCTACCTCACCATGATCAGGCATTTAGGTTGTTTCTATTAATTGGTTAGCATAAATAATGCTGCAGTTAACATAGGTATCCATGTGAATTAGTCTTTCTACATTCTTTGGATGGATACCTAGGAGTGGAATTGCTGGATCATGTAGAATTATTTGTTTTGGACCATTTCAATTTCTTTTTAATACCACCTGTTGTATAAGTAGTATTTTTTCCTAATAAGATCTTTTCTGTTAACAATTATCTCATCATTTTTTGCTGTTATATTGTGTTTGAACTATTAAAGTCCATTCATACAAGTGAAACTTGCTTTACTACTTTAATTAAACTAATAATATTTCAGAAATTTGGAATAGTTTTACATGAGATATTCAATAAGTCATAAATTCCTGTTTAATTAAATGAAAAATGCATATATGTATGAAAACATTATGAGTTAAAGAAACCAGTCCCAAAGACCACTTTGTCCGATTTTATTTCTAGAAAATGTCCAGATTTGACAATAAAATAGACCTGCCTTAATTTTTAGAACAAATATAAGTACTGTGGAAGTGAAAATTAGAATGTCACTTGTTTCATCATGGGTTACATTGCCAATTCATTTCTACCTTTAGATAAGAGTCAAAATATATTTGCTTTGGGAGCTAATTTATAAATTTTATACTTGTTTACCTGTTTTGATATATGTTGACCTGCTTTGGCCAAACTGACTGAACTATTACTAATTAAAAATTTGTCTTCCCATCAAATAGCAATTATATTTTATCTAGCAATTATATTTTATCTATCTTTATTTATGCTGATGAGTTTTTAACAGATAGCTATGTGTTATGTATGTCTGGTGTTTATTAGCCTTTGGAGAGATGTAGAAAGGAGTGAAAATTAATCCCAGTTCTTACATACTTTCCATCTGGAGATTCCTTGCCAGAGGGCAAGGTAGAAACAAGCAAACACTTTGGTAACACCATAAACAGGCTACTAGGGAATCATAGAGGAAGGAACAAATCTGTACACCACAGAACTTACGTATAATAAGCCAACCCTTAGGAATGAGAGAATTATGAAAGGTGAGGAGACTGAACATTATCTGTAACCAACAGTGCTGATAAGAAGAACAGAAGGAAAAACAAAACCAGAGAAAGTTTCCTTTTTCTCTTTGGAGTGTGTTAATATATATTAAGTCTCAATTCTTTTAGTGGGAGAAGCGTAGACATCAGCTAAGTGCAAGCTTAACTTTTATTTCATGTTCTGGTGCCTTCCATTATGAAGTTTCAAAGTTAATAGTACAACGTTGAAGGTAATTACTAGGGCAGTCTTACTTTTGAGAACCAAAGGGGAAAAAACCACCCAAATTTGTCCTGTTTTGTTTGCTGTTGATGTTTTCATTTATAAATCATCATACTGTCCAGAAAAAGTACTTCATGCAGGTGGTATCCTGTTTACAGCCCTAGGCCACCCTGAGCGAGTCCAGGAGAAACTGCTCTTCCTTTCAGGCTCAAGGCCACATTTGCTGAAACCCCTTTCACAACTATTTTCTGCAACTCAGTAAAGTTCTCCTTCAGTTGAAAATCCAGGTGTTTAGCTTATTGAAAAGCTGTTTTATGTAATGACAGCTTCTCAATAATCTGCATGAAAATGTTACCATGAACTTTAAATGTTGTCCTAGTCAGAAGGTGTGACCAGCCTGAAAGGCAGAGTCACAGCAGAAGGCTCGTTGTGTTGCTTTCCTGCCTCACACAGCCACACGCCAGGCCGGGGGTGACCATACTTGGGCCGCTGACTGCACAGGCCAGAAGCAGACAGCCTTTGAAGGGAATTTCAGATAATGTCAGCCAGTGACTTCTCTGCTAAATAAGTTTTTCAACTCCAGTTATAATTTAGTAATATGTGTAATAAGAGGTATGTATGTAAATACATATGCATTAACATGACATAACATGCACTATACTGTAATCACACACACATTTATTTGCTGACTCCTGGTGCAAAGAAGGTATGGATAAAGGGCATCCAAGAGTAGTAATAGTTTCTTAGTCAAAAAAGTTCGTAAAACAACAGCTTCTATTTAGGAGGTGACTTGTCGAGCTAATCATATTTTCCCCTACATTGTGGTAAAAATGCCAATGTTGACAGTCGTTGAAAAGGAAATGAGGAAACAAAGCACATGCCTGGGTGCTTGATAACTGAGAGGTGACTAAAAACTAAAACTCACTGGACACATGCAAGTTAGGGACCAGCTCCGTTCTCGGTCTGGTCTTTTTATCTCTGTAGACTCTGCCAGTTCCAGCCAGAAAGGAGCATGATCAGCCAACCACCCCCTCCGCCCCTACCCCCCCCAAACTCCCCCCCTCCTGCCCCAGCCTCTTGCCTCTCTCCTTTCTTTCTTGCTTTTCCCCTCTCCTCTTTGCCTCCTTCCCCTTCGCTCCTCTCCCATTCCCCAAACTGATAAGCCGGGAGCATGCATCAGGGAGCTGACCTTTTCTTATTGCTTCTTTACAGGAGCGGCTCATCCTTCTCTCTGTTAATCACTCTCTTTCCTTACCTGCTTTGTTTCTCTGGAGGAATTTAAAATACTCTCTGGCTCGCCTAGTTTTTGTCTCACAGATTTGTTCTCCTTAACTTGCCAAGATGGATTCTGCTTTTCCCCATCTTTCCTCTCTTCCGAAGTCTGCATTTAAGGGTATATGTCATTAGCTGACTAGCAGTGAGCTGGTGAAAACATTGTTTGCTACTCTGCCTTTTGCAAGGTAGAACCGGAAAAACACATTCACTAGACAGATGAGTTACAAATACCTTCTTCTCTTTTGATAGTAAAACCACAGTATTGACTATTCTTAACTTTGGAGAATATATTCAAGTATACAAGAGTAAGAGGCTTCAACTGTTTGCCTTAAATGTTATTGTTTGCCCAGCTAATGTAAGGAGCCAGAGTATATAATGAGGGTGGATTACTGGTTAATTTGAAGTATTCAGAACGCGTTTAATTCATTAGGCATTGCAGGAGATGATCTCTGTTTTGTTACCCAAGGAAGAGATGACTAACATGAGGAGATAGGGAATCATAGAGGAAGGAACAAATCTGTACACCACAGAACTTACGTATAATAAGCCAACCCTTAGGAATGAGAGAATTATGAAAGGTGAGGA